ATATAGTCAAGAACACAAATGTTGAATGCTGGAAAAGGACGTAGAGAGTATAAAAACCATTTTAGGAAGTGTATGCCCCTGAATTATTAAGAAAAGTGGAAGATTAGATCTAGAATAGAAGACTCCAGAGATATTCTCAGCTGCTATAAGGAATTAAGAACTTTTTATACATGAAGACTGGCCACCAGTTTTTCAACATACCTAAAGAAATCCTAGCTATCCCTGTATCTGAAGCCCTCCTATCTTACATATTTTGAGCTGTATTTTTTATCACTTGCTTTATCTCATTATTTGTACTAAAATATATCTACTTTGCTCATTACCTTTCCATTAATTTCCCATGATTTTCTCTCTGAAAATTCCCTTTAAAAAATCTACCAAAAGACACCTCAGTTCTTTATCCGTAGAAAAGAGGTGGTTATGGATGCCATGACTGTCCACAAGTACTTATTGTGTCCCCAGTAAAATACTAACACCGGCGGTCAACATTTTTGAGTACCCGTTTCATACCAGGCATTTTATCAAATGTTTTGAATATACTATTTGATGTTTTCTTTACAACTAACCTATATAGGAGATACTTTTAGTTTATAGACAGAGAATCAGGGACTTGGATAAAGTTTGTACTGTGTTCATGGTCATGTAGCTAATATAGTAGATGAGCCAGAGTTTGAACCCAAGACATCTGACTGTTAACCATGCTTTTTACTATTCCACTCCGTTTCTTCTCTGTGGGCCAGGAGTTCTGTAGACAGTCAGGGAAGTTTAAAGAAATAGAAAACTGTCTCTGGCCTAAAGTTCTCATACAACATATAGAATGACCATGCTTGGCAAGGAGTCATCTTGGGCTCATTTATTCCTGATGCCAAAAGAACAGAACAGATAATGTAAGCCCATCACTTCTTCCCTGAGGACTCAAATGTGGAGGGACCTTCAATTTAAGGAGATAAGGTAGTCTTAGGAAGTCTTTTTTAGCCCAAAGCTTGCTTCCCAAGTCTATGCCCAACAGAGGACAATGGAGATACATTTAAAAAAGCAGGAGGCCATCTCCATAAGAAGCTTGAACTTGAGTCTTTTCCTGATTGAGAACTTCGTTTCATCTTTCTAATGTCAGCATTTTTGCTAATTAATTCAGGCAAAATAAGTGGTTCTTTCTAAAATTAATGCCCCAAGTGTTAGTTTAACTAATGAAGGGAGCATTTCCCAGCTTCCCTATTCTCTAGTTGTAGGTTAAAATACCTATAGTGTATTCCATGTGTATTCATATGGTGTGCAGTACAGTGTATTCACACACAGAACTGGGGTGCTGTTTCATGTATTGAGAATTAAAATTCAACCAAAGGAGTGTCCACTGCAGCAAACAATAATGGGGTGGGGAGGAAGGCCACCAGAGACCTGGACACAATCTAGCCATGTCCCTTTATGAACTGCTGCTATGATGAATGGGGTAGGGACCATCAAATGGCATCAAAGGTGGAATTGCCTCAGCCCTGCCATTTCCAACCACAATTTTTCCATATTTGGATGTCTAAGAAAGAAACCATGGTAGTCATATCCTAGGTTGGTATCTTCCTTGGCAAAGGATAATCTTTGCCCTAACTGAGTCTCTCTATTGTCTTTTTGCATCTAAGATAACATATCTTTGGAACATCTAGGTAACCTCTTTTTCCAGACCCTTAGAGTACAATCTGTCATCAGAGCACAAGGCCACTGGACGCCTTGTTGTTATCTTGTTCCCCCACATACCTTCATTATGTGCTATAAATGTTATCTGTTAACTATCCTATACCCACCAATGTAAAAGAAGTATGTGTTTATCTCCTCATTTTACTCTTTATCCAGTCCCAGAGATTTTCCTGCTTCCCTAATCTGTCACCAGTCAACTTCCGGCAACCCTCTGTGCCTCTTCCTTTGATTAAAATTTATAAAATAAGGTGTAAAACTGCCATTCTCTGGAGCATTTTCTCAGTCCCTTAAGATTTTCCTTCCTGGAAATTGTCATCAGTTTGGCTTAAATTAACTCATAAAAGTTCTTAAAAAATAAATAAAAATAAATTCTGTTCATCTTTAACACATCTCTACACCAGAGGGGAAAAAAAAGATGGAGTTTATCTCTTCAGTCTTTCTTTTTGCTTTTAAAAAATGTGTGACTAGGTAAGTATCAAAAGAGAAAGAGACATTATAGTTGCTGAAGTTTTCTTGCCAACAAAAGCAGCCTGTTCTTGGGGTCTTGCGTAGGAAAGAGGAGGACCTTTAATGGAGCGATGTCTTTGGACACCCACTACAGTTTGTCAGTTTGCAGATGCTAATGGAGGCAGGCTTGGTGACTGGAGGGGAAAATGGAATATGAAAGCAAAATAAAAGAAGCCTCTGAAGCAAGCATGTCATTTCTAAATGAAGGTTTCATGCAAAGGAATTGAGACTTTTCACAGCTGAAAATGGAATTTTTAAATAAGATAAAATAAAAGGACACTGGCTTGTTGCAGGTTCTATAATGAAATACAGTTTTCCTAATACGGTGTGACCTGCATTTCTCCATTTTATGGGTGCTATTCCTTGACGTACAAACCCGTATTTTCTCAAGTCAGCATTTGATGATGGATGTCAAAATATAGGCCATGTATTATGCATATAGCATTACCGATTTAAGGTGTTTACTTGTCAAGTTGAAGAAATTCAAAAACGTCACCTCCACTGAATCTGCTCAGCTGTCACTTGTAGTTTTTCATGCTTTTGAATGAAACTTCTGATGAAAACAGTTTGGTCTTCCCCTTCACTAGTCTAGGAGAAGAAAACAGCTAGCATTTAAAATGCGTGTTCTTGATTATGTGGTTGGCTGAAAAGTACACATTCCAAAGTTTGAAAAAATGGACACTACACTGTAAGTGAAAAATACTTACTCTGCACACAGTGTGTCAATATAAAGAGTAAAATTAAATGCATTCAGGGAATGAAAAGTAAATAAAACATTTTTTCTTTCTGAGAATATGGCACACAGTAGTATGAAAATTATACATAGAAAAACAGAAAATAGGCAAACACTTTTTATATTTCTCTGGCATTTTATGCATTATGCACCTCCAAAACAACAGGCAATTATTGGGCACCTGTCATTGCAGCATTCCTGGGAAAGCACACACGCCATAATGCCAGATTTAACACAGGCTTGTCACATCACTGGAGAGTAAATGAGGAAGCTGGTCACACAATCTATTTGGAATTTTGTCGTTGGAAACTTAACAAGAGACTTTGTATCTCTAAGTCATAACTCATTGATAAGTCCACATGGTAGTCCATCAAGGGTGAAGAAGAGAAACCAAAGTGAAGGTGTCTGCCTGTTTTCTAAGATAGAGGAGCAAATTGGGCCTTGCAGCCAGCACAGAGCTGATGGTACCAATTGCCATGTACTTCACTTGGTTAAATTAATTATCACTGTATGAATGTGTGAGGTAAATAAATGTCTCATGTCTATATGTTTCTATGTATACCCTTAGAGAGGCAGCTACTCAGCCTAGCTGGAATGATTTCTCATCCTCAGAGATCTTGAGGCTATGGCTGGGTCAGGCTCATTCTAATATGTACTTGGGATTTGGATCTGAGACCCAAAGAAGCCCAGATGCAAAAAGTCATAAACCAAATAGGCTGCTTTCCAACTTACTCCACCCACATCTGTGTTAAGATGGGTTCGGCACAATGGGAATTTGGGGCCCCACTGTGAGCCAGCCACACATGTGTCAGTCAGGATGATTTTAGTCACAAATATTGTTTTTAATAAAACTAATCTGGCTTAAACAAAAGGAAAATATATAAAGATATAATTGTGTATATATATATATAGAGAGAGAGAGAGAGAGAGTATACATATGCATATAAAACCATGTTACCTCAGGATTTTTTCCATAAGAAATGTTATCTATATAAAATTTACATATAAAATACATAAAATTTATCTACATAAGATATGTAAATATTATATACATATCACTTATATGTATATATAAAATATCATGTAATAAGAATTCCTGAGGTCAGTTGGTTTTGGTTCTAGGGCTGGTGAATTCAAGAACTCAAGGACCATTCTTCCTGTCATTCAATCTTTCTATCATTCAGTTAGGCCAATATTGTTAAGATGACTTTGTCCTCAGCTGGTGCCCAGCCTGGTTATGAGATGGCTGCCACAGTTCCTGGCACTAAAGCAATTTCCAGTGGATTGAACAAGGATGTCTTTTTCTGTGTGATTCTTTTTAAGAGTATAGAAGCACTCCCTAAACCCCCCCAAGCAGTTCTCTCCCACTTCCCTCCCCTTGGTCAGAACTGTGTCAAAGACCCAGGCAAGCCTCACTGGCAAGAGAATAAGCAATGAAGTAGTTTTAGATAGCAATATAGGTTAGGTTATGCTGTGGTAACAACAACAATAGACCCAAATCTCAGGGACTTAAAGCAACACAGATTGCTTTTTCACTTACTCAGATGGCTTATGGGTCTGGGTTACTGTCCCCAGCTGCTGCCCAGTCTTCTCCACAGTGACCCATGTTCCCATGGTTACCACAGTCTGGGAGGACAGGAGGTGGGTCAAATGCTTATGTCAGAAGTGATGATATGCATGGTTGTGTTCATGTTTCATGGGCTAGAACATTCCCTACATTGTATTGATAAGTCTCACTTCAAGGAGGAATTTAGGTATAATTCTCAGGTGTGCCTGGATGGAGAGGGGAGCAAAAATCTGCGAGCAAGATCAATCATTGTTACAGAGAATGGTTTTTAGGGAACTATCAAAGTGAGTTAGAATTATGTATGATAGTCTCCTACTTTGTTCTTTCAAAAAAAAAAACAACAACAAAACAGCTCATCAGAGTTTATCCTGGAAGTGCTAATTGTTGACCTGTAAATAATGCATAAACTACATTTTTTTTTGGATTCTGGATGTACCCTGAACTCTCATTATTTCCAAATTTTCCACACCTCTGATTTTTCTCCCTTCTCTTTTTATTTCCCACTAGGGTTCACGCCTCCAGGAATGGATAGATCCTCTCCAGATAACAGCCCAGTGCATGGGATGTTACGTCAGCCATCCATCACGACTGGGGTCAACATCCCCATCATTACTGAATTAGGTAGGGGTGAATGTCGGCTTTGGGCAGACTTTTTGGTTCTCTTTTCCAATCATGTCAGATATGAGGAAGTTAGCCTGTTTTTTAGCTCCTTCAGCACAGTAAACTCTAGTGGGGTTTGATTGGAAGGAGATTGAAGAAAGGCATGCACAGAAATATCAGATTGCTGAAGGGAAAACTGATCTAGCTTTCCTCTGAGATGAATAGACAGTTCCCTTCATGCTGGTCACTGCTTCCAAGGAGTATGAGATGATGGATTTGAAACTGGGGCATAAATTAGGGAAGGGGGAGGAAGGGAGGAAAGGCATAGTCCAAGGACTCTTGGTAATTTTCACTCAAGCACCTCTGGACAGGTCCTATAATCAGAACCCTCCAATGAGGTTAAAAGCTTCAGCTCTCACTCAGCCAACCTCATTTTGAGAACGGAAGAGAAGCATTGAGCTAGTAACTCTACACTTAATCTACCCTAAGAGAACTGCTCAGACAAATGCCATTTTCTGTGAATGCCACTTGGGCCCCCCAAAATGATGGAGTTTTGAGGACCATGATTGTTGGAACTCAACTGTTAACCTGGCCATAACACTCCCTGCTTCTACTTATGAATTTGCACAACTGCCAAGTGGTCTGTACCACCACTCCTCCAAGACAAATATTACCAACCTGAGATCCAGGTCTTGGGTGCCTTTACTTTAGAATGTTTCCTCTGTTATTCCCTCACTCTTTTCTTTTTCTGTACTTTCCTCCACTCCCTTTCCCCAACCCTTAAATGCTGTATCCAATTAGCTAAGCCTGGCAAGTTGCCTTTGGTATCAGTCAATCAGGAAAAAAACAGTGGGACGCACATTCTAATGATAACTGAACTGGGTAAGAAGCACTGTTTTCCTTCACATCAGTATCTCCTTTTGTTCTGTTGTTGGTGTTTCCAACCATCATCAGCTTGTTTTTTATTTCACTGGCTGTAACAGAACGGCTACCCCATGGCACTGCTTTGAATGTGTTTTATTTGTGGCTCTGGTTGGAATCGACTGTCTTGTTCTGGCCTTTCTTAATGATTTTTTTTTCCCCACACAGCATCAGTAAACCTTTGATCACACCCATCTGACCTGGCAGTTGTTTTCAAAGCATCTTTTCTCTAATTCATTTTCTTTGGCCTGGGCCCTTTTTTTTCTTTTCCGTGTGTCCCCCTGCTCTCCCGCCTTCTCCCTTATATTCCTCTTCCAACACACTGTCAATTTGACTGACATGTCTTCACAGCTCTCAGAGGAAGTCAAAGGAGAAATATAAAAATTTTAAGATAAGAAACCTAAGATGGTGCCTTCCCTCCAGCTGTTTATTTCCCTTTATTCTGACTTTATTTGCCTTATTTTTTTTTGTACTAGGCCCTTTCTCAGAAGCTCTGGTTCTGAAGCCATAAAAACAACCAGCTCCTAGAGGACCTTTTCTTTTCAAAGTCAGATTTCAGGAAGGGTGCCAAGGATGAGGTTAGCAGCCACTGGGGCACATCCTTGAGCTCTGACCCCCACCCTGCTGGCCCAGAGCCTTCTTGGGGACACTCAGAGTGGACTTATCAGGAAGATGAAGGGCTTGGTCATGACTGCATTTGTCAAGACCTTCCATGATTTCCTACAAGTTGGTTAATAACTCCTTGAAAGGCACCCATCAGCAGCAGGTCTCAGACCTGGGGATTGATCTTCTAAATAGAGACAGTGAAAGTGCCGCTTGGCAGAGGGGTGGATAGAGAAGTAGGAAGCACCTGCCTTCAAATGACTCACAAATGAAACTAACATGCCATTTTCTAGGCCCCAAAATATATTTCAAAATAAGAGAGCAGCTTTTAACACAGTAATCTTGCTTGCGAGGTGTCTAGAAACTAAGGAATAAATTGTCCACCACTCAGCACTACATTATTGTAGATGTAGCTATTTATCAGGACAGATTCACTCAGGTCAAGAAGTATCACGCTATTTTTTTATTTCCAGCAGTAGAAGAGGTGTCTTTTTCACGTTTAGGGAAGTTGGCTAAAAGCCAAGGTTTCGGGACTGCTCTCCTCAGAACCTTGGTGTTATAGGAGACCCCGGGAGCTTGTGCAGCCCAGACCTGTGCTTGAAAAATTCATTCTAATGTCTCCATCTCAGGAATGTTCAGAAGAATTTCAGAATCATCAGTGCCAGGAATTTCTTTTTCTGTCTGGGATTCACATGCTGCCAGCTAGCTAAGATATCTTGATTGGTAGAAGAGAAAAGAAGAGGCTTGGTGCCCCAAATCAGAGGCAACAATTCAGGCATTTGATGAGCATCCTTGAATCTCTTGAAGTTTCTGTCCCTCACCAGAGGGTCATGTCTTCAATTATGGAAGCTAATGTCTTCCACTAGCTCAGAGAACCTTCCATGTTCCTGTGTGTTCCCATCACCTTTACCTTCTGTCTTAAGTCCATTATTTCTAGAGGTCAGACCATCTTTGGCAATCATACCATTGTCCTCTGACTGCATCCCCTCCCTGTGTCCCCACAAATATTTACTATTTACCTACTACATGTTCTGAGATGTCTTCTGTGTTATGCCAAGTGAGTAAAATGCCTTTTGAAAATCACAGAGGATGCTGAGGTTGAATAGGTCTTTTAAACTGTGTAGTATATTCCAGTCTTTAACTGTTTGGAGAGTCCCTATGGATGTCTGTGGGTCAAAGGTCCCTAGAAGTCCCATAAGAAGTAAAATCTTTAAAGGTGTTTAACCTGCCTGTTTCCCAGTTGTATTTGACCTCATATATATTGGGTTGATTGTTTTAATCACCTCCTAGCACCCAGTAATGACTGCTCTGTGATACGTTAGAGTAACACTGTCCTTTTGATACTGAGTGACCCCAAACAACACACAGGGTCTTCACTGAACCCTGGCTCATGCCCTGGAGTTTGTTTCCAATGACTCAGACCAATCCCTAGCTCACTGAAAATCTAGAGTTATCTCTCCCTACTTGGGGCTACTTCCCCTTGAAGTCTAATACCAACCCTTCCTCAACATTTTGAAAACGGGTAACAGATGCTTCTCATTTTGGAGTGTCAATGCACAGGGCTTCCTCAGCTATTACAAATGATTAAAACCACATCCTCTGCACGTTGTCCTGGTTCACATTTTCTGATTTACAAAGCAGGAAGACTAAACTGTGGTCCACAGCATGCTTTTGGGTAAGTGGATGGAGGAGGGAAAAGATACAAGTTGTTCCTACTAGGATCCCTGAGAAAGGCTTTACGGGCTTCTGAGAAGGGGTGGAAGGAGGCTGGGAATTTCTATAACATAGTGGATGCACAGAACATTTAATGTCAGAAAGGTGATCCTGAGAGCAGCTAGTATCAAGTGCAGGGTCAGGCTCACCAAGTACAATATCATAGGAGCGTCCTGACAACCTCACAAGAGCTGCTGTTAGCTCCCCCCATCTTACAGAGAGGGAGAAACAAAGGTGTGCAGTGATGAGGTACTTTGCCCGAAGGAGTTAGTGTCAGATCCTGCATTTTGCACTTTCACCCTCCAGCCTGTGATGCAAGTGCTGCAGTGACAGTGCGGGGGCGGAGTGGGTATTGGGCGGGGGGACCCTGACGTGATAAACTTTGGAAGAACAGAGCAAAGATTTCTCTCCATTAGAATCTTTCTCTAGGGAAAGTGTCATTTAAAAATAATTTCATGTCTAGCTTTTTATCCTATTATCATTTATTCTGCCTCACATAATAAACAAACAACTTATAAAAATGTTATCCAAAAAGTTACTTTTGGGGAAAAAAAATTAAAACAGTAACTCTAAGAAAGAGAATTCGCTGCTGATACTTTTAGAAAGGGATCAGAAAAAAGGGAACCTCATCTATTCTTTTTCTAAAAGCATGATAATTATTCCAGAAATCATGAGCACTTATTTTTCCCCAACCACACACTTCCCCCACCCATTACTTGCTCTGCAAAGCTGATCGTTTCTGGAGTCAAGAGCAGAATGGAAATTAATTTGTCATTTAATTTTTAATAAGTTAAAGACATCTCAGTGATACAGTCAATCAGTCTGCACATGTGTGCCAGAGGAGTCATCGAGGAATCCTCAGATGGAAACAAGACACAGCATCAAATGTTGCATCTGCTTAAGATGAAGCATAGAGAGAAGACTGAGCTATTCAGAAGAGGAAAGGGAGAACGTGGGCATCCCCATGCACCTTGGGATGCAGATCAAGTAGTTGTCAGCAAACAGCTGGAGACAGCCCTGGAGACATCCCACATGGGGTCACCTTTCTAATAACCAGGGCCTGTTGAATGTGGGCCCAGAATTAGGGCTGGGGACACCACCACCCCCCAGCCCAATCCCCAGGCAGGGTGTGGGCTGTGCCTGTGGGTGAATTCCTTGCTCTTTGCCTCTGCTGTGCTCCCAGTCAGTTGCTCTTCACTCTCGATAAATTGCTTTCTTTTCCTTGTGGCTAAACCAGCATGGCTAATTGTGGCTACTCATCCTTGAAATACGTCTATCTCTCAAAGGACTTGGCTACCAAAGAAACACTTTAGGGTGTTTTTCGGGGTCATGATTCTAAAACTATACCAAAGGACTGACCAGCACTGTCTTCTAGTCCTCCTGCAGCCTGCCATGGGGCAAGTCTGCTTGAAGTTATTGCTCTCCGGGCCTTGGAAACTTGAATAATCACATAGGAGCAGTCCATTGAGTCCCACTGACCCCCGCCCCCAGACCTATCCCCGGCTTCTCCCATGCTTTTCTCCTTTTCAGTGACTTCAGTGTTTCTAAACCAGCAGCCTGCTCTTTCTCTGGCTTCACTGCCTGTGTTTGGTATTTGGAGCTAATTCTTATTTTATGCTTTTTCTAGTGAACGATACTAATGTTCAGTTTTTGGACCAAGACGATGACGATGACCCTGACACAGAACTGTACCTCACGCAGCCATTTGCATGTGGGACAGCATTTGCCGTCAGCGTCCTGGACTCACTCATGAGTGCGGTGAGTGGGTGTGGGATGGGGAGTGGAGCTCCTCCAACCTCCCACAGGAGAGGCACGGGGCTGGAGCTTGAGCTACAGGGGAGGGCGTGACCAGGCAAAGCTCTCAGTCTGGAAGGGGATACAAATGTGCACCAAACTATCACGCAAATAAACATTGGATTATAAATTCTTGAAGGTGCAAGAAAGACTGTGAATAAATATAGGTGAGCAATTGACCTGGTCTCTGGATCAGAGAGAGAGATTCCATAAAAACATCATACACATTTTATGTCAAACTCTGAGCACTAAAGAAGGCAGATTTTGTGGAGACAAGCATCCCTGGAAGAAGGGAAGCAGATGCAAAGGCCTGTGGGGATGGAACCTGACAGTCTGAAGGAAGCTGGACAAAGCCTGTGGGGCTGGGCCTGAGTGAGAGAGGGAAAAGAGGGGAGGAGGTAGGGTTGGACCCGCAAGACCTTGGACACATTTTCATGGTTTTGCTCCTTTTCTTTAGAGCAATGAGGAGGCATTGAAGGGTTTTGAGCCGGAAAGTGTGATCAGGTTTATGTTCTAGAAGGACTGCCTCGGCTGGGGTGTGAAGGATGGTTCCAGAGGCAAGAGGACAGCCAGAAGTCTGAGTAAGAGGCTCAAGTCTGAGTAAGAGGCTCTCTAACTCAGACTAGGATAGAGCTGCACAGCGGGAGGGAGGTGGATGGGTTTGTGTGGCGTTTGTCAGTCTATTTGGGAATAGATTGTGTATGAGCAGAAGGTGAAAGAGAACAAAGTGTCAAAAGTAACTCTAGGTCGCTGCCAGTCACTGAGACATAAGTCCTGGGAGAGGACCAGGCACGAGGGCCAGGCCTGGCTTGTTCTTTGCTGCAGGGAAGGACTTGAGTGGTAGCTGAAGGATCAAAAGCATCTTTGATTTTTTCTGTAACTTGATGTGCATTTCTTTTTCACTTTTGAGTCCAAAAACAAAGAACAATTAAAAAGTAGCTCCTAGTTTAACGGAGCCGTCCTGAACTATAAAAGGCAAAAGCAGACACTAGAATGGGTTATAACCTGGGGATTGTGATGTGTTCTTACTGAGTGTCTTTATTTGTTATATAGAAAAGCCTCTTCATTTTGGAATTCTCAAGTTCACAGCTTTTGAAAATACGACATAGACTGGATAAATACTGACTTTTGGAGAATCCATGGAAAAGAGTTTTATTGACCACATTAAAATCATAAACATAGCTCAGAGAGTTTTATACACATACACTTCTTAAAGAGCTTCACAAGGCTATTCTCCTGAATGTGTTAAACAACAATTGATATGCTAATTATGCATTATTCTCATCTATTCATTAAAGAAAATCCCAAAAGGAATTCTATTTGAAGAAAGAAAAAACATAAAGCTTTTAAAGACTAATTTAGGTTATTCCATATTCCTGAATGTGGTCCAACTGCAAGTATATTTTAGTTAAAAATCAGGATTATGGATTTAAAAATAATTAGGAAACTACATTCATCTTAATTAAGGCTAACTGGGCTCCATGCCATAACCATTTCTTTCCAAGCCAAGAAGGAAAGGCAATGGTCCCTAAGGAAGGGTTCTTTTGGTTTCCCAGGTGTTGTGATCTTCCTGATGGCCTGAGGATGCTGAGCCTAACCTTTCTACCTGTGAGAGATGCAGGGCTCAATTTGGGCAAACTCCTTAACAAGGCTGAAAGGAATCATAGGAGCTAGAGGATATGCTTGTTACCCTGACATATTTTTTAAAATGGTCCTCAGAGTCTCCAAATATAGCTTCCAACAGATTTATGTAATTCATGTCTTTAAAAATTTCACTTTACTTCTGATCCTCATCAGAGAGATTACAGAAGCCTCTTCTCACTGAGATATTAAACTGTTTATAATACATTTGTCAGAATTGCAAATACATTATTAAATTTTTAACTGAAATTTATAAAATTATTTATGTTTGCACATATCAGGCATTCAGTATATTCCAGGCAGGACCAGCTACCTAATTTTTAAGACCACTTTTTCAGAAATTATGAAGAATTTTTAAATGGTGGCAGCTGAGTATTAAACCAAGTGAGGGGTCCTTCTGAGGGTGGGCCCTGGGTGACTTCACAGGCCATACACCCATGAAGCCAGCCCTGGTTCTAAGGAATAAAACTGGTTTTGAGCACCAGAGAATGTCAGCTTTCTACAGCAAGGGGATACATGGTGGCCATGGGTGGAAGGCTGGGAGGGCACATCTGGATTTGGGTTGCACGGTTATCTGTCTACAGTAGCATGAGGGCATCAGCTCTTGGAAACTCAGATGGGAAATCAAAGTGAGTTGGTTTGAATTTTTTTAAAGCCATCTCTAATCTCCTTTGAAACGTAACCAAAATGTTTGAGAGAGGATAGCTAAGGCATGTGTGGACACAAGTTTGTGTGTAGCATTTCTTCTGAATTCCAGCCTGGGAGAAAAGGGTGTCAGAAATCTAGTAACTGTCATTATGATTATCATCAGCAGCATCATTTATTGAGGGCCTGGAACTGTGAGAGGCACTCCAGCTTTAGTATCTGATCTTCTGGGCAATAATGTGAATAAACTCAGTCTAAGTGTTGAAGCAAGATGTATATTGAACTGATCCACTGATAGTAACTTTTCAAATCTTTAACCAAAATGCTTATCCAATTCCAGGCCTTGTTATCATTGCCTAGGATGAGCAAGTTTCACAGTGAGGTCTTGAGAACTGGGTCTGGTTCAACAGATCCAATTGGATCTATACCTTCTGATAAAATCTTACATGCGATTTCTTTGCAATCCCCAACCTAAATTTATTTAATAAAAAAGGAGGTCTTCCAGGACCAAGGCAGTAATTAGGAGGAACTAAAAGAGGGGGCAGAAATATAAACTGAGAAAGTGAGACTCCCCCAAGCAGCAGGAGCCAGCGGGGAGCTTCCATCTCAGGCCTTCACTATAAGCAACGTCACAACACACACACACACACACACACACACACACACACACACACACACACACGTCTTTAGATGTTGATGATCTCCTCTTTCTAGCACTCCTCCCTGAATTGCCATTTAATCATGTGTCTAAACATTCCCTGAACATTGTCCTTTATAACTCAACTCCTGCTGCTTACTGCTTCATCTGTTAAAAGAATAATGTTTTGATTCATCACAGGCAATCTTGCTGGAACAGATAGAGATATTCCCGGCACGGCCTCATGGCTTTCTCCTACAAATCAACAGCAGAAACACGTGACAAGAGGGAATAATTGTGCTTATGGGCATATGCCTCTAAGAAGATCACAACTAAACAATGTGTTTTGAAGAACACCGGCTTTCTGCTCATACACACACACACACACACACACACATGACAATGAAAAAAAGCTTCTCTGTAGTTAGAGCTGAAACAGGTACCTGAGGATTCAGATTTCTCTCCACACACCTATCATATCCCCCTACCCTTGCCTTCAATTTAAGTTTCACCAGGACCCTCCCTAGAAAGAGCAGTCATGGACTCAAGAGCCAAACTACTTGGATGCAGATCCCAGCATCACCATTTACTGTCTCTGTTACCTTATCCTCTCTGTGTCTCCGTGTTCTTATCTTTAAAATGGGGTGATGATAGTACCTACATCATAGGATCATTGAGATGACTAAATGAGTTAAGATTGTAAGGTGATTAGTGTAGAACTTAGCACATGACAAGCTCTATATGTACTTATTGTTATTAATCAATACATTTTTGGGCACTTACTAGATGTCAGGCACTATTTTCCATGCTGGGGATTTGGCAGTGAAGAAGACAGATGAAGACCCTGCCCTCATGTTGTTTCAACTTTCATTCTGGTGGGCGGTAGCTGTGTAAGTAACAGTAACTAAGTAAGTGAATGAGGACTGCCAGGTGGGGATAGCTGATCTGAAGCCTATGAAGTAGTATGAATAGGTATGGAGACCTGTCATAGCCAAAGTGATCAGAATCAAGCTGTCTCAGGCAGTAACTTTGAAACCGACACTGAAAAATCAGAAGAGATGAGAGTGACTAGCTTTCCCAGACCAAAGAAAGAGCAAGGGCTGGAAAGGAGTGCTGAGCTGGGTTTTGTCTGAGGAAGTAGGTGAAGACCATCGTGGTTGGAACGTGGTACATATGGGAGAGGGACATACAAGAAGCAGTCAGACAGGCAAGACCATCAGCCACACCTTGTACTCTGTGTTCAGAGACCACATCTGGTCAAGTTTTAAGACTAAGCTTAGACATTTCAGTCTTGCTTAGAGGATGCACCTTCTTTTGGACACTGCCGGCATCCTTATGATGCCACTGGCAAATGTGACCTTGGGAAGATGGACAAACATGATTTACCCTCTTAATTGTCCTTCCATGAAAGGCTCAGCCCCTGCACTGTGTTATGGAGGAGACCAAGTTCTCGGTTAGCCTGTGCTAAGCCAGTGCCATGTGAAATAAGGTAATAAACACATTACTCCTGCATCCCAAGTACAGAGCCAGTGTGGCTCTGCACCAGTGTGGCGCATCAGCACCAGTGTGGCACACAGTACTACGTTCTGTCAGGCTCAGAATATGCCACTGCTGTCACATCAGGCCAGGCAGGCCCAGCATTGAAAAAAATCAAATAGTTCTCATCCCTCATGAAAGAAAATACTAAAAATAAAAATCTACACCATGAAAACTAGGAAATATAAAAAATGGCAGCTATGACATGGAAAATGACAATTTTAGAGCAATTATAAACGAAAGGCAAAGTGCCATTAAAGTTAAGGCAATGTTATTAAAAGATGTGTTAATTTTCAGTTAAATTTTCTATAAAAGACCAATTAGTTTAAAAGGCTTGACAGCATTAACTGCGAAACATAAGCTCTGGTAATTATACTTTAAAAAAATAAAAAGAGGAAGACACTCCAGAGTGTTGGAGACAAACTGCAGAGGGGTGTCCGTAGAGCGGGCTAGATGGCGCTGCAGACTCGGATTTCCTGTTGCAGTTAGTTGATGCTTTCCCCAG